CGTGGTGGAGGCACACTGTGACTAAATCATGCCCCACTTCCTGCATAAATATGGTCATTATCTTTAGCTGATTGTAGACTTTGATCGTAGTGTAAAACGATAAGTTTTTGATAAGGAGGTAATTGCTCCAAAAATGCAAGACCAGTATTCCACTAGCGGTAAATAATATACAGAGATATGTTATAGATATGAAGATGTTGAACGTTATACAGAACAAGGTCGCAGTTATTACTCGTATAAAGAAGTTAATACGTGTGACGTTCAGAAGGTGTAGAATAAATCCGTTGAAGGGGGAGTTGTTGGTGACCGAGGCCCAAATTATGAAAGCTGGAGCGATATAGTTCATCGTGAAAGTGCCCAGATTGGCAATTTTGGTGACGGTATCTAATTTCCTGGGGCGATATTTTGATTTGGTAACCATAAGTTTGAGAAGAATGTACACTGGAAGATATTGGTAAGAGATGTTAGTTAATAACTTAATATTAGTAAGGCATGTCGTGTGTAGTTAGAGATACAGGGTTTTACTGCGTCTATGAAAGCCATCAGGTTTTACCATGGTATGTATGGATGTATTATCGAATACTAATTCGGTCTTATAAAAAAATTCGCTGATAAAGCAATAGAATCAATTTGTAGGGTGTGATTTTAATGTTAAGACCACTATGATATTTCTAAGCAGCTCAGTTCGTGGTTATTCAAATCGAATGATATTATGCATGGTGATGAGTGATATCACTACCAGTTCTGGTGGTAAGTTTGGGTAGAGTAAGTTAGGAATTACCGGGGATATGGAGAAATTGCTAAAAAGTAGGTGAGCCAAAATGATAAGACCACCTTCGAATTTTAATTCTCACTCGTTCCTCCTTTTGTTCAAACGGTAAAGCTAAACTAATTCCACGAAGGGAAGGTGAAATCATTCAGGTACTGTAACTTGACGTCCAGGAAAAACCCGGAAGAGAGATTTCAAGACGTTTTTCCCAATCAAAAACGGCAATTCATCATTAGATCAAACAAGGCGCAAATTACGGGACCAGAAAAATTGGTATCTGTCCAGAAGTCACACTGGACCTAAAAAATGGTAAATTGTGCAGTTTGCTAGCGGGGCATAGCCATCAAGAGGAGATATAGTGCAAATTTTCAATTACAAACTTTCCATTAGCACATTTCGGCGCGTTTTATGGAACTTTCCTTACCTTAAGTGGTACAAATAAGTCGGTCAGCCATCACCAACGAACATGCATAAGCGGTAGAGACCTTAATTCGCTCGATAACATACTTCTTCGGACACAAACTGATATAGGGTCTTATTAAAGGATGAAGAGAAATCAAATCTTGACGGACCTGCCAGGTTCAAATCTTGCTGCCACTATCTGAGATAAGACCCTCGATATTTTAAGCAACGACAGATGAGAAAGTGTCCCAAAAACTTAATTCCAAATTTTAAACATGTTAAACGCGTAGTTACACGGCTATTCTAGTCCGTATTCTTATAATAATGGTCTAAATTAAAGTGGTTGTTCTGCGATGGTTTATTATGAATTGCAGCCATCCTTATGCCACTGTCTGCCCGAAGAAGTATGTTATCGACCGAATTAAGGTCTCATCGGCTTATGCATGTTCGTTGGTGATGGCTGACCGACTTATTTGTACCACTTAAGGTAAGGAAAGCTCCATAAAACGCGCCGAAATGTGCTAATGGAAAGTTTGTCATTGAAAATTTGCACTATATCTCGGTTTGATGGCTATGCCCCGCTAGCAAACTTCACAATTTACCATTTTTTAGGTCCAGTGTGACTTCTGGACAGATACCAATTTTTCTGGTCCCGTAATTTGCGCCTTGTTTGATATAATGATGAATTGCCGTTTTTGATTGGGAAAAACGTCTTGAATTCTCTCTTCCGGGTTTTTCCTGGACGTCAAGTTACAGTACCTGAATGATTTCACCTTCCCTTCGTGGAATTAGTTTAGTTTTACCGTCTGAACAAAAGGAGGAACGAGTGAGAATTAAAATTCGATAATTCGAATTTCGAAATTCGAAAATTCGATTCGTTTAACGATATTAGTTTTGTTCCTTGTGTTCCTGGCATTTGGCAGCAAGTTTCATCTCAAATCTCGATGAAGTAAATAAATGAAACAAACTAAATTCCGGTTATTGTTTCTTTGTTTAACCCAAACATTCAATAAAACCTAGTATGTATCATCCACTAAAACCCTAAAAATCCAATTAATTTTCAAGATACAACCCTGTTTTTTTAGCATTGTACATGCGTACGTGCACAGCTTCCAAACTCTCTTATACACCAAATTCAAGTATAAAGTCGGACACAAAAATTTGTGCCAGTGACCTAAAGCTATAAAACACACAAGAGTCCACTCACCGGTAAGTCGTTTATCCAGGTTGAGTATTTCGTGAAAATATGTCACGAACTTCCGGGAATTTGACTCCTTTGCGAAAAACCGAAGGTATGGGAGCACCGTGAAAGCGATAAAAGCACTCATAACGGAAGCATATTTGGAAACCAAGGTGACTGATCCGGTGACTGATTTGTTGGCTTGGTAACACCAAACAAGTAAGATTGGTTGTGTAATGATCGTACTGAATAGGGCAAATAATTTAAAACCACGATACTGCCAGTTGGAGGATTTCATGGGGACAGCCTTTCCAAGTTTGCTGTTCCACTCGAGAAAGAATACGGATCGTAGTGAGTTTCGTTGAAGCGTTTTTATGCAAGTGCGAAAGTGACGGGTGCCTTCGATGTGCCACATGTTTCAATAGAAAGTCAGGTACTTTAAGACTAAATTTAAGGATGAACTGGGAGTATTTAAGAGTGCTTGAAGGCAGAATAAGATGTGGTCTCCTGATGATAAACTTGTAAGTATATATGTAAATATATAGACTCGTACGTACATACGTATATTTGTAAATAAGTACATATTTACATACATATAAATTCATATATTTTTTGTGTATCGCACATCGGTATATTTCTGTCCATACATATTTACCTGTACGCTCGGAAATATGAATTTCCGTGTGGATGTTTATGAGTTTGTAAATAATTGGTTGTAATTACGTCAAAAATGATGGCATGTAAACTACTAATCAAATTTGTGACGGATTTATGCTTACAGACAGGAAAACAGTTTTTAATTTATTTTCGACAAATTTGTGTTGTTGGACGTGAACATTTTATAGTATAACCTGTTTCACATAAGTGGTTGTTATTCCAGACTAATTACATGTATGCATAAGTAATGATAAGTATGTAGGAAGGTTAGTTTGTTCAAAGGTTAATATTCCAAGAATCGTATTCAATGTTGTATAAAAATTTATACATGTTGATAATTTTCTTTAATTTGCATTCATTACACTGGACGAAAACTAGAGAAATTACAGTGTCCAGCTTGGGGAAGACATGAATTTAACTATACTAAGGAGGAGAGCTTCGCCAATTGCCCTTCTCAGATCTTGATGTAGTTTGGTCCTTTGGATAGGGTATATACAGCTCAACTTTTTTGAAATTTTGAATTTTTTCGAATAACTCATCAGCAGTGGAATCTCCACAAATTTCGAAAATTTCAAAAAACTTGAGATTGCTACTGAAGATGATCACAGAAGTATTGAAAAAATCGACGTAAATTTGTATTTTTATTTGATATCCGTATCTTTATGTACAGAGCGTCGCTTTTTTATCTGATAAAGAATTTGACCTCGAATAACCCCGGAACGGTTTGTCGTAGCGGGTCAAAATTTTGAACAGAGGAGCATGTTATCCTCAGATAGTCGTGTGCAAAAATTCAACTCTCTACTTTCAAAAATGCCTCCCCCACAGCCCCCAGAAGGTGAGGAAGTCATAAAAACTCGTTGCAAACTTAAGTACCCGTCTAGCCTAAAAACAAAACATCTTAAAAGCGAAGGAAAAACATTTGCGAAATCTAGAATCAATAAGGTATTTAAAAATATAGGTGAAAAGCGAGAAATTTTGAGCTAAGGGCAACCACCACCCCCTCCAAGAAGGCAAAAAAAGTGTTAATTCCGACCGTGCTTAGGAAGATTTACCTATTGACCTCCAAAGACAATCGACCAACCCAAAAGGAAATTTCCCTTAAGGTTGGGGTGTCTAAGCGTTGAGTGAAAAGAGAAATTAAGATTTTGAAAACACGACTTCGTCGGAAACCTCGTGTGCATCAGCTGACCGGAAAACAAGAAAAAAATGGCGCCCGCCTTTGCAAAAAAATTTATTCAAATTTTCTGTCAAGGAATAAGAGTAAGGTTTTGGTGAAATTTGACGAAGCACTAATTTCTCTACAAAATACTAATTGGGTTCGAAGAGCTTACTACACGACAAATGCCGAAAACAATTCACGCAAGTTGGTGCTTTCCCGTGAGGAGAACTTTTGTAACAAGTTTGTGGTCGTGGGTGCAAAGTCGGGTCGTGGTGTCCTCCCACCTATCCAAGTCCCCCGAAAAGTGAAGGAATCTTCGAAGCATTATGTGGACCGTGTATTGAAACCACTTTTAGAATAAAATTTTACTAAATTGCACGGTAAAAAAATAATTAAGGTGATTTTTCGTCATGACGGAGCGTCTTCCCAGACGGCAAAGTTGACCCAAGATAATGCAAAGTACCTTGAAGCTAGATTGGGGATAAAAATCATTTTGAATAGTGAAATACTTGTATAGTCCCCTGATATAAGTCAAATGAACTTATTTGAGGTCGGATACTTGAAAATAAAAATTTTTCTGCGCAGAACGAATTTTTTAGACGGAGTTTGGAAAGAGTAAAAATGAGTGTTTCAAGTTCTGGGGGCTGTGGGGCAGGCAATTTTGAAAGTAGAGAGTTGAATTTTTGAACACAACTACCTGAGGATAACATGCTCCTCTGTTCAAAATTTTGACCCGCTACGACAAACCGTTCTGGGGTTATTCAAGGTCAAATTCTTTATCAGATAAAAAAGCGACGCTCTGTACGTCTGTCATCAACTCGGACGTGACATTTTTAGAACCGAAGTATCTTCTCAGCCGTTTCAATGTATTTGGAGGGCGGATTAAAATCTAAATTTCCCCCGTCGTATTCCACATCTTTTAGGGCGAGGTGCTCAATTCTGGTCCATCTACATTGTCGAACTTCTTCCAAAATGTTACGTTCTTTTGACTCGATTGGAATATCCGGCTAAAATAAATGGTTGGAAATTTTAAAACCTATGTACATATTTATTTATAAGTCATTAGTAACTTGTAAAATCTGTACGTTTTCTAATATAATTTTATAAACTTTTCTAAAATGAAGAGACGCTTTGATCCGAGGACTAAGCTTGCACAATTTTGACAGCTAATTTTTTTCGAAATAATTATGAATTTTCGATCAAGTTTGTAAGTTTGCAGGATTCGCGGATTTGTCAAAATTATAAAGCCCTGCGTTAATTGCCTCATTAACAATGAGACAACATGCATATTTACCATCTTTTCGACGCTTCTTCTGTGCACTTGGTACAAAAATATGGCGTGGACAAGTTTCCAAAAGCTGAACTCGGGCCATGTTTCCGGCACGAAGTGGATATAAGCCTGGCTAGTCTCCCACATCATGAAGTCCGAGAGTCGCAGATTGCCCCCAGTTCGAATGAGCATATCAACCGGGCTCATATCGACGAGATGCTGGGCCTGCGCGATAAGGTATTCGCTGCATTCGCAGCCCCGAAGATTGCCCGTTATTTCATCTTTGGACCCGGAGAAGGCGTTTAAACTCTGCAAAATTGCGTTTCGCCCTAGAAAAATTAAAACTTGACAATTAAAGATTCTTGAAACAAATATAATAAACTTGAAGGTACAACTTGTCTAAATTTTTGACGAACATTCTGCATTTGCATTCTGTTGGAAGCATGAGTAAATAGGACACTTTGAGATCCGGTTATTATAATAATACCAAGCGGTACATGTGCAAAATATGTATCTGTACATGGCTCTACCGAAGTGGCCTTAATACATACATAAGTACTACTTATGTACATATGTATTAAGGCCACTACTTATTAAGTAGTAACATGGCTCGGTATTATCGGTAAACTCATAAATGGGGTTACGATGATAACCAAAAAGTAAATGTATGTGACTGTACCACCGTATTTATAAATTTGTCACCGAGTGGTTACAATGGTCCAAATTCATAACCACAGCGGTAGAATCACATACGTTTACTTTTTGGTTAAAATCGCAACCCCATTTCTGAGAGTGCGGCAAATTTTTACGGACAGGTACAATTTTAATGCCAGGCGGTAACTGCTTTAATACCGATAATTCAATAGCCGCCTCATTATTATACCATCTTTCTAATAGTGTAAAGGTGGCAAACATGATCAAGTTACAAAATCTAAAGTCGTTTCATACATAGTTTGAAATCTTATCAATCAAATAATTAAGGCACGTTGTAACAAGGAAACAAGTGACTTCTCATAAAAAACGTTTATATGCTGCGTTATCAAAAAAGCACCGATTTTTAGACCACCCACCATTTCCCTATCCTGCTAATATTAAACCTAACACGAATAAGATTTACGACCTAAATACACCCACCCACCTGTCTGGTGACATAATATATGGACGTTCCCTTATTTAAACGTATTTAATTTTTACCCGTATATGCGACAGCTATATTGAATCGATAAGGTTCCAAATGTCTCGTCTTCACCATCATGTGAGCGATTCGATGTTGCAGTTTGACTGGAAGGAGACCTTCCCAATTTCCAATGATTTGAATGCACATGTCCGTATTATTTCCAGCGTCTCTGGAATAATTTTCGCAAATATTGGCAAAATTGAGAAATACGAAATAAATTTTGAAACGTACATTTCTTGCATGAAGTAGGTACACGTTAGGAAGACAAGCTCCATCAGGTTTTCTACTTCCGCTTTGGACCGCTTAAAATTTTCGATGGAGAAGAGATATGCTGTAATCTCTTTTATGTGAAGGGTCCTCTGCCACTGGAGCAACTTGTGGATCAGAGAAACCCTAGAATAGGGGTATGCATGCAAATGATTAGTTTTTAAATGAAGTACATAAATATATTATAATTTCTTAAAATGGAACCCTTTTTCAAGGTAAACCGGGATTGTCTAACGAGTTGGATCAAAAAATCAAGCAACAAATTAGGAATCACATGGCGCTTATGAATGGCCCCTTTGAACACAAATATTGGTGGCAAGGCACAATTTTGCAGTAAGTTTTCTCTTCCGCTCTTTTGGCGTTGTGAGGATTAAGGCGCTCGTGGGTAATTTAACCGCCAATATTTTTCTTCAATGCGGCCATTCAACGAAATGATAACTATGATAAGCGATATATGACTCCTAAGTTTTGCCTTGATTTTTTGATATAACTCGTTAGACAATCCCGGCGTAGCTTGAAACAAGGTGTAATTGTTAGTAATCTTAATCTCAGCTTCGAGATTATTCGATTCATATGTTTGAATTAAGAAAAAAAATTAGTACAGGGGACTTGGGTCGGCCCACTTGAAAACTCTACCGGCCCCAAACGATTTTATACAACCCAACTTACCTGATTGGTTGACTGATTGAAGCTTTATTAAGGTGTCTAACAAGTTCACAGTTACACACTATGCTCTTCCGCAAGTGACACATATTTTTAAACAACTATGTGTCTAACTAATGTATCTAACTAACCTCTAATTTATACGCAAAATACTTACCCAATCTTGTGTCCAACTTCTACAGGTAACCCTAGGCTTCTAGAATAGCGCCGATTTCTAAACAATATCGCATAGAGTTACAAGCTTTTTCTGGCTACACTCTTAAAAATCATGTTACCCTTTTCAAAAGTAAATGACCTTCAATTCTCAATTAATAAAACTGTGCTACCCTAATTCCATGGTAACGTTAACTTCATAAAGAGTACAGCTTACCCTTAATTTACTATATATAGCTTACTTAGATAATTTAGAATTCAGACTCTGAAAAGTAAATGTACTCTGAATTTCAGAGTACATTTACTTTTCAAAGATAACATTATTTTTAAGTGTGTACAATTAAGAAGAGGTGATTTCTGTATATATATTTATTACAGTCGTTCTAATTGTTTACCCGTCAAGAATGATGGCCACGTGGTCAGGAATTTTTCCCATTTGAGTGATGGAAGCTCCCAAAATTTCCAGAATAGACATCGTAGAGTTTTATGAAAGCGAAAATTTTGCGACTGGAAGAAAATTCGTGTTACCACCACTGCTGTAAATTTAGACACAGTGTAAACTTTAATTTATATGCGTTAAAAGCCATAATAAATCTTAACGACTCGAGGGATTTCCAAACAATATATACATACAAAAATTTAATAATTGCACAATTCAGGTACCAATAAATGCGGAAGATTAACTTTAAACGGTATTAAGGGAAGGTTGTAAAACGCTAAATATATGTATTTATTATCCAGTGAAAATGCGAACCTGGTTGTTTTTCAACTTCAAACTTAATGTATGTACTCAAAACTTTATACAAATTAAATTTTCCTCGTTTGTAGGACTTTGTACTTTTTGATATAGATTATCCCTTTCGGGTGGGAAGGACTTAGGAACGTTTCCGTTGGATAGGTTGTAATCTTTCGAGAAACTTTATTTCCGAATCGTAAACTGAATATCTGTTTCCAATTGCAGTAAACAGATAATTATATAAACTCTACTCTAATGAAATTTAAAAGGTCATGTACATACGTATGTATATAAATGAGGAAAGCAACAAAGTATCAAGGTACATATGTACCTTGTTAATAGTAAGAATTATGTAGTCTCTGGTTTCCGAACCCACTTTTTTCAGGGTAGGATAATTGCATAATTTTGATAAAATACAACTTATGCGGACGTGAATTGGTTATCTTAGATTTCGACAGGACTAGTTTTGAGTGTTGACATTTATTTGTAGAAATTAGCGGACCTGTAAATATTTTTGCGTTTTTTGGACTTGATGGAATTTTTAAGTGAATTTTCAGCCAAATTTGGATTTTGCAATCACTTTTCAAATTTTAACCCTATTTGAAAAATTAAACATCATTTTTGTTCAGGAGTACTTCCTGAACAGCTTATTATTTTCAAAAATTACGTTTTTTGTATTTTCTAAGATTGGGAAATTATATGAAAATCGCAAATTTAAAAACTGATTTGTGACCTTAAAGCTCGACTAATTTGAAGTCACAAGTTCATTTAATGTTAGTTCATTCATTTATGTAAGTTAGTATCTACATGAACGCTGTAGACGTGGAATATTTACGATTAGGTTTGTTTCTATGCAGTTGGTATACGTTTTTTTCCAACCTGACATGAAACCCACTTTTTTAAACTAGTCATACAAACACGCCTACTGACTTGCATAAGAAAAACTAATCCACAACTTTACCTTAACTATATATATAGTTACGAATGCAGGTGTTTCGAATAAGAAGCAAGTTTCATATTTTTTACGTAGGCAAATTTTGAGTATAAATATATGTAGATATGTATTTGGATAATTATAACACGTGCCTATCTCACTCCGTCCTACCAAGCCTTAGGTGTGTATGTGTCTATGAATGCCTACCTACATATGCGTACATAAATATGTATTAACATACGTGCAATTTGTTGGAAGCGCAATCAACAGTTGAACTTTCATAGGTATCAAATTTGCAATCTGAAAAAATGAACGGGGAGCATACATATGTATTTACCAAAACTTCATTTCAGATTGCACCATTACTTCCAAAACCTGCTATTAGACCCAACAAGCAAAAAAATAGCCAGTTTCTTTCATTTCAATAAGTACATATGGAACTGCCCGTTAATAATGCGGCACAGTGTTGCATGCTACAATTTTAGCAGAAGCAACTTATGAATACTGTCCCAGCGTGTGCAAAAATGAGGCTCCACTTGTTTCCAAAATACGTACATGCCTGTACGTAAATGCGTACATTATTCCAGGTAATCTACATTTAATAGAATTGACCGTTTAACAAATATGTAAAGGAATTACTCGTTGAAATACGAATTACTGACATTATGTTCTTACATATGTTAAGGTATGTATGTACGAATGAAAAAAAAGATAGCAATCACACAAAAAGACCCAATTTAGGCATTCAAAAATTCAAATTCCTACACTCTTAAAAATAATGCTACACTTTTGAAAGTAGATGCAGCCAGAACTCAATATTAAGTAAACTGTACGAAATCCAAAGTAACATAGAGGCAACGTCGTTAACTTTATAAAGCGATTTGGGATAGGTTTACATAGTGCTGCCTAATTTAGAATTGAGGGTGCAAGTACATTTAAGTTACAAACAGTTAACGTTATTTTTAAGAGTGTCCAACCCATCTTTTTTCATGGCTCGTTTAATGGCATTTTTAAAAGATTCGTACATTCATACATATTTACATATGTTCCAAATTGTATACCTTGAATTGAATCCACCCGTCACGCAATAACACATTGGGCTTAATCTTTCCCCAAAAAATTTATTCAATTCTCCTTCCTCCTCTTCAACGGATACATAGTAATTTTCGTACAAGTTGGAACACAATTTTTGAAAATGGGTCTGGTTCAACATTTCCAAAAATATTTCGAGGCCAACGTTAAACCCATCGTAACCACGAGATTTCTCGCGTTAGACCTTTATTCCTTCGTGTATCAAAAATTCACCAAAATGCCGATAATGTGGGATAGATCAGGGCAAGAATTCATTCCGTGTGAAGATCCCCGGGATACGAGGGGGTTTCAATTTGAAGCAATTGTGGGGATTTCGGTGGTCGCGATTTGTTACGTCGTCGTCCTCGTGCAACAGGTCTCCATGTCGGAGGACAGTGCAGGTCCGCACGTTTCTGTCCTGACCCTGATGACCGTTTACGCTGCGATTCACGTCTGTATTTTCATCATCTCCGTGGCGGTAGAAATGTTTAAGCATGGACCGGATTATGGAAGAGGGTATAATGGCTTGAAGAGGCTGGAGGATGAAATAATCTTGGGTAATGTTAGTTTTTAGAAGGGTTTAAGACAAATATATAACTATTCACAAAGCGATTCAAAGATCTTTTAATAGCCCTCATATAACGTAAAAAAACATCTTTTACAAACTCTAAGAACGACGTAATGTAATATTCATCTTTGATACTAGTTGAGATATTAAGTTATCCTTATGGTGGAATACGTTCGTGATAGATTTTGTAATCTCACCATACCCCAAATCATTGTGTTTAAAATGACATCGACTTTACAGCTTTTGAGAGAAATACCTTTAATACTGGAGTGCAAAACCAACTTCTGATACTATGCAAAGGGTTGAGTTAAAAAAGTTATTACTTCAATTGCCATTTGTAATAATAAATATCCTCTGAAATAATATTTCTAGTTTTTTTTAAATATCGATGGTTCCCACCAGCTCACTTTTCGCTAAAGTATCAAACGGAGATTTATCTCAAAAGTCATGGAATTGATGTATTTTCAAAATGCGTTCATAAGGATGTTCAGAATGATTCAAAATCCTAAACCTTCATTTATCATTATTCACAGACCACCCCCAACACGACCATCGCACCCCCTCCCAACTCTACACCTTCGCCTTCCTCACCCTCTACATGTCCATATACTACGCCACCCTCCCACTCGTCATGCTCGCCGCCTTCCTCTACATGGATATCGATCCCGCCATGTACATCTTGGACATGCTGTTCGGCCCGAGCCCGCCCCGCATCTTGAAAAACTTCTCACTTCACCCCCCTTTCTCGTCTCACCTTCCCCGCCTCCTCGTCCGCTCCTGCCTCATGTGGATATTCGGCATCGGATTTTCCCGCTTGACCTGTCTCGTCTTCATCACCTCGACAACCAACTTCACTCGGACACACCACATCTTGGAACTGATAAGTCGAATCAACGCTTATCAAAAACTGAAAGCCATGATGTTCTATAATGAACTTCAACTAATCTGCAAGGACATCAATTTGCTGCAAGATTCCGTCCTTATGGGGCTCTTATCGATCGGATTTATGCTGAACGGGTGCACCATCTACTTATCCATTCAAGGTTATCGCGTCCTTCCGTTCGGCGTGCATGCCATGTTCGTCGGGTTGGCAGTCATGAATATTTCCGCGACTATGACGATCATCCCCTTCTTGGTGGATACGAATCAAATTGGAATCAATTTACTGGCAAATTGGAGGTTACAGTTCAGCAGCAAATTGCAGAGGAAAAGGGCAAACGCGATGACGCCCACGAAGGTGAATTGCTCGATGGGACAATACAGAATTTTTAGTATGACGAAAACCGCAAAGAATAAGTTATACGCGGCGTTAATTGAGTTTCCGGTGAATATGTTGTTGGGCTATTCGAGGGACGAATTTGAAATGAGGTTTCAGGTGGGGAAACAGAATTAGAGAGAAGTAAATAACGTATATACATAAATGCTCTATTTACTGCCGGACCTTGAACCCAAGTTTTCAAAATCGAGTAAGCTTGTCTCTAGTTATGGTATGGGTTTAATGCACGTCCTTAAATACTTCAGGGTATGCAAGTAGGTAGGTATTTATTAAGTTCGAGTGATATGGCCTCGGCCTTTACAATTATGCAAATTCGATTCCCAAATATAATTAAAGCGATTTAAATACTAGTTTAAAATAATAATTCTAAATTATTTATCGGTTCGTTATTTGAGTCCGATAAATATCATGCGTTATGCAGGTGGATCTCTCTTATTTCATAGGACTGTCTCAAATAATGATTTGTACAGTTCAGTTTTCTTTCATTTAAATCGGATAAAAAGATTACAAAACCATTTCTACTTGTCGTAATACATTCGTTTAATCAACATCAACGTACATATAACCGAAAAAATAGTCGGATCTCAAGTTTTACCCGGTTTGTACTTGTAGCCGGATCTGTGAAACCTTCATACCTGGCTATAAATATGTATTTACGATATTTTATGTATTACTAGCAAAAAATTGTCAACGTTAGCAGATACATATGTAGTAGGAAAATTTTGAGTTAAAATGAGCTTCTTTTATTTTAATAGAATTATTCACCCTATTGCTACATTAAGCTTGTCATGCTTTATTTACGGAAATTTGTTATCCTTAGTCTGCAATAATCGATTGAGTAGTTCCGCCGCCCTCACCTGACACAGGCACACAAGAGATAATACGTATGTACGCACTGCTTATTTGTTCATTATATTATCTACACAAACCAATTGTGGTCAATCGACAATAAAGCAGTACAAGTATAATTAAAAATTGTGAAATAATACGTCCCTTCCGTAGACTTTTGCAACATATTAATCCTAAAATCAAACAGTTCAGCGTAAACACAAATTATCTTTGTAGATCGTAATCTCCTCACTAACAATGGAGGTCTCCCAACGTATGCTCACAGATTTGGACCGAAGTAGTGTCAATCGATCACAAATCTAATTAATATGAAATTTGCAAAAGACACTATCTGCCAATGCACAGGTTTCGCGGAGATATTTGCATAAAAAGAGGACAAAACGGGCCGTAAAATCGGCGAATTTTTCACTCCCATTTTCCTCACTAGGTCAATGACTCGCTTCTCATTCTTCGCTTCTCGCTTCTCATGCCCGAAAGTTTTCCAATGCGTACATTATTTTAAAATAATTATTTAATTTGTGCATTACTAATCATCCCAACTTCAATAAACTTATCTTAATTAATATTAAATAATTACACAAAATGGACTCTATTAATTTTTTATCAGTTAGTAAGGCATTGGTAGAAATATTTAAGCAGCAGAATTTTGAGGATTGTGATCCGAGCGAGGAAGAGCAACAAATTGCACAACTTTTAGCAGAAAAATTAGAATTATTGGTGTTCGATTACATTTCTGAAGAAGAAATTGACAACAGTCAAGGTAACCTACTAAACTTTGAATTATTCAGTAAATATGCAATAAAACATTATGCATTTATGCAGCGTCGGATTCTGTGGTTGCATTGGATGTCGCATATGAAGATGAAGATACGGGAATAAAAATCACTCCGGATGATATGAGCATGGCATACAAACTAAAAGCAATTGAAGCGTATGATAAGCATCCAACATGGTCATTTCATACTTTCAAGCATTTCTACAGAAGGGTCCACTATCCCTATTATATTTCGCTTTGGAGAACCCAACTGACCATGGGTTAGTGATTTTACATATTTCGTTATTTTTACTTTTCATATTAACCTTTTAAAATAATACACAATTCACAGGTGGAACCAAGCATTATATTTATGACGAAATTGAGAAATACGTGATGGAAAAATTCAATGAAGCTCGATCCGATTTTCGACCCGTCCATGACACTGACCTGCGTCGTTGGGGACTTTTTAAAGCCGCAGAATATGAGGGTTTGATCTTCAAGGGGCAAAAAATGGCTTGCTAGTTTGAAGGCAAGGAATGGAATTTCATCAAGGAAAATTCAAAAATTAGTAAGCAAGCATTCAGTTCGAGATATTGACCAAATTACTGCGACGGCAGTCTCATTCCGACAACAAATGAAGTCTCTAATGCCTAATTTTTTAGCAAGCAATATACTTAACACAGACCAAACTGGATTTACTTATGAAATCACTTCTACCAGAACACTTTCCTGGAAAGGAGAAAGAAAAACTCTTGGTACAGCCAACTCCCCCACCAACAAAGCTACACACAGCTACACTGTACAATATGTAATAGCATATGATGGAACTATATTTGACAAAGTGTTTATTTGTCTACAGGCAAGCACAATATATTTACTATAAGTACAAATATATATTAAATATAAATACAAGAAAAACAGCTATACAATTTATACAATTTAGGAGATAAATGGATCATTCGGACCTAGGGTTCAGCAGGGTATTTTTATAGCACCAAATGTGCATGTAACGGCAAGCAAGTCAGGGAAATTGTCCACTTTACTTGTCGAAGAATTTGTTCAAGAGGTCCTTCGCCCTAACCTGGATCCCGACTACAACTATTTGTACCTTATCGACAATTGGGGTGGACATACGAATGCAGAACTGTACAGCTCTTTATTGGAGGATGATAATTCGTTCACGGTCAGACTAATCCCAGAGAACACTACCGATTTATGCCAGCCTTTGGATACATATTTTCATCGCCAGCTTAAATATTTAGTGAAACAATTTTCTGCATATGAACTCCTTAATGAATATCAGCATCCATCCGAATTAGTCCCTAGAAATGGCATCATTAAAATGCACTCACTGGCACATTTCCTCTTATCAGCTCCAGCCTTAAAGGAAATGGTTAGGTATTGTTGGTTTTCAAGTGGAATTTGGATCGGATCGGAAAAACCTGATTTTCGAAATGTCAAAGACATGTGTTTTTCCTTCCATGCGAGTAAGTGCTCCTCCGTCGATTGCAATAATGATGCATTTATAGAGTGCACTTGGTGTCATAAAATCTTGTGCTACGATGAATTTTATCATCAATACCACATAATTAACTGTGAAAAGTGCACCTATTACAATTAGTGCACAATAAAAATTTGTTTCCTCTTCAATAATAAACTAGAAATTATTTGTTTTAAGAAACCAATGAAATTATTGTCAAGTAATGTTTATTCCTTCAATAAAATGAAAATACTGCTGCTAAAAATGAATAGTGTCCATTTTGTGTAATTATTTAATATTAATTAAGATAAGTGATGATACTAAAAGCCCGCTACGCCCTCTGGCGAGGGCGTAGCGATCTTTTCGCCTGAGCGATAACTTGTTTTTAGCTTTTGATGTTTTCTTTTTATATGCTTTTCTGCTTTTTCTCTTTTATGCTTTTGTGTTTATGACTTATGAAGTTTATGCATCTAACTTATATGTTTTTAGGTTTGGTGTTTTTACGTTTCATGCTTTTTATCTTGTAGCCATTTTCGCTTTTGCGGTTTCTAGATTTGCATTAGCTTCAAACTTTAATTTTATAGAATTTTATTTTCACATATTAAAAATAATGAACAAAGTCAATTCCGTTGATGCAAGTCGAATCATAATGTCTTAAAGTTAATTTAATTTGCAGTAATGCTTTTATATGTTAGCAATATTAAAGAAAATAGTACCGAACGAAGAAAGTTAGTGAAAGTGAAAATTTACATTGAATCCGTCTTATTGCACCATTTTATGCCTTACTGCGGTACGTATGCCGTCTTACTGCAACTTGGCTGGCCTGATTGCGGTTCGAATATGTTGATGTCCACAGAGGTATAACCTCCAGTTGACCCAAACCCCTTGTCCCCCCTTTTTTCCCCGCGCTGGTTTGGAACTATTTTGGGAAGTGAGGGAGATTCCTCACCATAGGCGAGCAAACCTCCCCACAGCTTCACAACTACTAATTGTGCCACCCTGTCATATTTATCAACCTGATAAGGTCGATTACCCAGGTTTAGGAGCAAGATGCCCAACGTCCCAGTATAGCCATGGTCCACCACCCCGGCCATCACGTCTACCATGTAACGTAGGGCAGCGCCAGAACGACCTTTGATGAGACCCATGTACCCTTCCGGAACACCAACTACTAAGTTGGTCTCAATCTTCATCATTCCACCCGGAGGGATGCAGGCAGATTGCGTGCTGAAATTATGCAATAAATGAATTAAGTGCACATCCTCCAAATCTACCTATGAATTTAAACTATAAAAATGAAAAATTGGGTACCTTAATAAATCGTACCCCGCGGCACCGTCCATGTGTTGACGAGGAAGAATACCGGCTGGAAAACCAGCTTTTCTCCCATTGAAAGATAGAACATCCGAATTTATTGCTGTTAATAAACATAGTAATACATGACATTAGCAATACAATAATAAAAATAATAGTAATGATAATATTGATGATAACGATATACATTAATAAATTAATTAACAGTTTTTAAAAATATATCACTCTGAGTTCAGAAAAGTCTGACACTCTTCCTTAAGTGCACCTAATGCGCTGATCAGGTTATCGAGATAAATTTCCTCAACATTAGCCCCAATGTTGGGGTTCTTCCTAATTTGCACGTATTTTTTGTTGTTTTTTCGCCAGGTGGCAAGCTTAACGTAAAACTGGTTACCAATGTAAGCATCCTAGTGAATCGTGTTATCACCTTTTTCAGCTTCCACGCCTTCCCCGGGTGGAGCGAAATTTTTCACTTCGACTATTGCTCTTGCTTTCTCTTCTCCATCTGCGGCCTCCCGCTTCGGTTTGACTGACTTGATCCTTGGAGATTTTGCAGCCTTCTTGGTACTGGCCTTCTCCTTCTCAGCCTTCTCGCGCTTTGGCTTAACCGATGCAACTGAAAACAAAATTTAAAGTTTTTGAGTACTGAGTATGTATGTGAGATTTAAGAAGTACGTGCCTTTGCATAAAAAATAAAATAAATGCACCTTTCTCTTCCTTCCCTTTTCGCTTCTCAGTACGTTTACGCGTCTCGTTCTTCTTTACTGGTGCTTCCTTCTTCTCGTCTTTTTTAATGGAGAAGAGCGCTTCTTTAACTAAAGAAATAAATAAGAATTAAAATTAAATTCGCGAATTGTTGTATATTTATGCTTTTGGGAATAGTTCATGAAATAAGTAATTCAATTAGGGAGGAGGAGGGAGGGATAGGGGTAATACGTAATATAACATCTTGCACAACATTAAGAAAATGGTTAGTAGGTATCTACAAAGAGATCGGAAGAGAAAAAGCTGCTATTGTTACCTATTGGCCCACCTCCGTTACTGCGTTTGGCTTTCTTTGGGGTCCTCCTCTTGACCTCCTCCTCCTCCTCCTCGCTGGTTGTGGAATCAGCATCATCCTCACTGCAATCCTCGCTCGAAGTTGATGTGTCAGAATCTTCTTCGCTTTCACTCGCTGACGTGACAGCTTTCTTGCTCTTTTTTCCTGACTCCTGGTCCTCGTATTCGTTAACGAGGTTACGGGCGTCTTTATACTGCCGCGAACGCTTTTCAGCAGTATCCATCACCTCCAGACCTTTCTCGTACTCCTTTTCAGTAACTGAAAATGGAACGACAGTTTTTATTACATTTCAAATTATAATTTTATGACCATCACTAATCTTATGAGCTTAAAAATTAACTTAAAACGCAGATAGAAATTAAACACAATTTCAAAATTATGAATTTATAAAGAAAAATATTTTTTAAGAAAGAATAACTTTTTAGAGTACCATATTTACGAATCAATGGAGAAGTGAAATCAAATTATTACACAAATGTGAACATTACGTTCTAAATGTAAAAAATAATCGTACACAAATATTTGTATTTCGAACTCAAAATGTAGAAAATGATTTGTGAAATTTTAAAACTATGAAATATAGAACAGTATTTTTGAAATTTGGAGACTTGAACTTTAAGGGAAAGTTGGAATAAAAACAAGAAAAACAACAGAATAAGTACTAAATGTTCCCACTTACTTGGTGCCATGTTGCCCCGAATTGTTCTTCGTAATTTTCACTTAACTTCACAAGCTTGGAATCCAAAATCTTTCAGAGTAACTCTCAAATTATGAATGAAAATGGAATCATAAATTTCCAGGGTATTTATGTGTCGGTTTTATTAATGCAATTGAAATGTTTGGTAAAGTCTTGTCTTATTTAATTACGTCTTTTTTGCTGATATTAACTTTCATGGTGTTCACCAGAGTCTGATGATGGAGCATTCGTGTCAGAGATGGCCAATTTCAGGATATGTAGATCAGAAAAAGATGCAGATTATTATGATTCAAAGTAATAGTAACCTAAATTACGGCCACCTGTATCCTTACCATAACTTTACACTATGGAGAAATATTAAAAATTCGAAATACATCGTCTTGGGATAGAAATGCACAATATTTCAAGCTGAAAATACTTTGAAACTCTTTGTAATAAGGTTTTCCGAACTTTGTTACGTCTGCTTTGCAATGGTCTCTTATTTCATGATCAACATTTCTGAGATTTCAGTTTCCGAGATTTTAATTCTAAGATTTTATGCGAGTAAATGCCCGTCTCTGTCATTTCCGTTAACATTCGTCTCCACCACCATCATAACAGAACTCCATGAAAATCCTCGTCAGCATCAGCATTTTAAATTTCTGTGAATAATAAATTATAATTTCACTCGCAGTTCTCTTAATACAAAAAAATATCGAATATTGTACGCCCCTTGGAATGCATCTATTTAGCATTTTTAACTTCCACTCCATGGAATTAATACTCATTAATTGACATCATCCATCTAAAAGCGTGAGAATCTTAACGATTAAATTGTTTGCACCTCTATATAAAGAACTATTGAATTTTCTTTCAAACCATTTCGATGATGACGATGATAGTGGTGGTGGTGATGACGTCGATAATGAAAATATGAAATTTGATTTAAAGAAGTGCCCAAGTTTTATCTTGTGAGTTTGTGAGGTAAGAATTCTGTCGTAATTCGATTCAATTTTATGCAAATAATCTGAGTAAATAGAAATAATACCCGAATTATTTATCTACCTAGAAAACTCAAATTATTATTTACACTTCACTCCGTCCGTCTCATACATTGTATTTCATGCGTACTAATGGTAAGTTCGAAAATTTGCTAGTATTCGATTTTTACATTAATACGCAAGTTTTATTTTGCTTTAAGGAACCGCTAAAAACTAATCCCTCGTCCAAGAATGTCATGGATAGAAGGAGAAAGCGTGTCAAGGTGAATTATTGAGATGGAATAATCTCAATCACATGCAATTTACATATTTTACTAATTACAGAAAACAGTTGCTGAGATTGGATTACTTGAATGCGTCCATTGTAAAATTAAGTTTGACTCAAGGCATCGTTTGTACATACATGTGTTGAAACATAGGAGGCAACAACTTATTCAGAGAAAACAATGTGCATATTGCATAAAATCATTTTTTATGCGAAAACAACTCGAGACGCATATTAATTCTATTCATTCTTGTGAACATTGTAAATTCAGAGGGAAGGTTATAGACCTTTATAAGCATTCAAAGACGCATCTCACAAAAAGCCCTACAAAACGTCGATCACCTCAAGTCGGGAAGCGAGTTGGAAAAATTTGCATTTTACCTTTCAAGGAAATATCCGCTTTTAAAGGTTACCTCAGAACATTTAGGCATGAGAGATCGAGTAAGTTGAATAATATTATTACTGTTCATGATTATTTCAAAATTTTTAAAACAAGAATCAGTAAGCTTATTTACACTCTTTAGAAATGTATCACAGTGAAAATGCAAATAACACTAAAGTGTGAATTCGTCCGTCTAAATCCTTATTGCGATTCAGACATTAAAGAAAAGACCACTCAATACATTAATGGTAATTTAAGAATAGTTCTCAGCAAATACTATGTGAGTAGTATTATGCACGGGACAACTTCCCAAATTGACAATATGGTTGAAATATTCCAAAAAAATGGGAGCGGGTGGGTATTAAATAGAATTGTTGGCTGTGATATTCGAGTAACGCGTTTTGAAATTTTAAAAGGTGGTTGTTTCATGGCATTACCTCCAGAAATAAAGTATAAAGGAGCAATTGTTAACCCTAGAAATTTGGGTACAGATTGTTTCAAGTGGGCATTCTTGATCGGAATGCATTCACATGAAATTAAAGCTAAGGATAAAGGCAAAATTCCCCAGTACAAAAAATTTGCGTCGCTGTACGACTGGTCGACTGTGTCTTTCCCAAAAATTTGAAAAGGCTCATAAGGACAAAAATTTTTCCATTAACGTTTTTGGTATGGATTTGTCAAAAGAATTGACCGCCGCAATTTTATCTCCCTTCATAAGGGATAAAGGTCGCAAAGTAGTCAACTTATTTCACTTTGCGAATTGTGAAGAATCTAGTGGGCACTATGCAACCATTACAAATATTTCACGGTTGATCAATAAACAAGGTGGCCACAAATCATTTGTCTGCTACAACTGTCTGAATGTCTTCACTTCCGAGGAAAGATTAGACAAGCATCAAGAGCTGTGTTTCCAGTTTAAGTCTCAAGCAGTTAGAATGCCAAAACCAAAGTATCATTTTGGAGAAAGGGTTCCCATGTGTAAGTTCAGAAAAAGTCTCTTGGCAAATACAATGAAGGCTAAGTATGTAATTTACGCAGACTTTGAGGCCATAGTAAAAGGATCCAAGAATACAGAGAGGAAATTGTTAGATATTCACAAACCTTGTGGAAGCGCATTTGCAGTTCTAAATTCAAGCGGTAAAGTCGTACGAAAATACGTTTACCGAGGAAGAAAATGCGTCAGAAATTTTTTAGAAAAAATTGAGAAAGTGTGTAGAGGATTAAAATTGATTCAAAACCGTTCCCTTCCAATGCTTCAATTAACAGCATTAGAGATGCAACAATATGGCAATTGTAATATTTGTCACATTTGTGGAGAGAAAATTACAAATGTAAATGAAAAGGTTCGTGATCATGATCACCAAACGGGTTTATTCAGAGGTGGTGCCCACTTTACTTGTAATGCTTACTACCGTCCTAATCCTAGGATTCCAATTTTGATGCACAATTTCAGAAATTATGATTGTCATTTACTTTTATCCAGCATTAAAAAGTTTAGTGATGGAGAGGTAGTTGTTATCCCATCAAATTCGGAAAAATTTATGAGTATAATAACCGATAACTTTTACTTTGTTGACTCTTTGTTACACCTTAACGAGTCATTAAATACCTTAACAGAAAACCTAGCCAACAAGGACGAACCGTTTGAGAGTAAGTTTTCCCCTCTGGTCCAAATTTTTGGTCAGTCTAAAGCTGAATTACTGTCACGCAAAGGATTTTATCCATATGAATTCATGGACAGTTGGGAAAAATTTAAGGAGACATCATTACCAGATATATCATGCTTTTTTTCCAATCTCACTGGTGAAACTGTTGGCAGGGAAGACTACAAATATGCTCAAAGAGTATTTAAAAAATACTGTAAAACAATGGGAGATTATCACGATTTGTATTTGTTAACTGACGTGCTCTTGCTGGCCAGCGTGGTAGAGAGTTATAGAAAAGTTGCAATGAAACATTATAAGTTAGACCCAGTGTACTATTATAGTCTTCCAGGTTTTAGCTGGGACGCAGCTCTTTTAACTACAAAAGTTGAGCTGGAGTTATTAGAAGATCAAGAGATGTACAACATTATAGATGAAGGACTTCGTGGGGGAGTGAGTATGATAACCACTCGATTTGCGGAGGCATATAATAAATACATGACTGATTATAAGAAAGTGGCAACAGAAGATAGTTTTTTAATATATATTGATAAAACCAATCTCTATGGAGAAGGTATGCTAGCTAGTCTTCCTGTGGCAGGGTTCAGATTTGAAGACCAGAGTGTCATAGAGAATTTAACAGCTGAAGACATTTGTAAATGGGATGATAATTCACATGAAGGGCGGATTTTAGTTGTGGACCTTTCGTACCCGAAACACCTACATGACATATCTGCTCATAATGAATACCCCTTAAGTCCAGAACGCATTGCGATTCCAAAAGAAAAATTATCCAAGTATCAAAAAGAGGTTATTGAAAATTGTAAGATAAACTATAATGATAAGCAGACAAAGCTAGTTCCTCACCTAGGACCACGAAAGTCTTATGCGATTCATTATAGAAATTTGAAATATTATTTGAAGAAAGGAATGGTTTTAGACAAAATCCATCGATCAATTAAATTTAAGCAAACACCTTGGCTGAGAGACTTTGTACTTATGACCTCAAAATTGAGAAAAAATGCAGACAATGATTTTGAAAAAAAACTTTTTTAAGCTAATTATAAGTAGCATTTTTGGGAAAAGCATGCAAGGTGTACGAAATAAGCAGCAAGTTTTCATAGTGAACAAAGTAAAAAAAAGTAAAGAATTTCACAAGATATACTAACTTTAGAGGCTTCCAAATTTTATCAAACGTAGTTTTGGTATTTATGGAGAAAAAATCACTGTGTTTGGACAGACCTATCTTCACAGCTTTTACCATCCTAGAGTTATCCAAGTTATATATGCACATGTGGCATTTCGATAAAATCAA